CCACACTATTTTCATTACTGTAGCTCTGTAATAGAGTTTGAAGTCAGGGATGGTAATGCCTCCAGAAGATCCTTTATTGTATAGGATTGTTTTGGCTATCCTGGGTTTTTTGTTTTTCCATATAAAGTTGATTATTGTCCTCTCCAGATCTGTGAAGAATTTTGATGGGATCTTGATGGGGATTGCATTGAATCTATAAATTGCCTTAGGTAGAATTGCCATTTTTACTATGTTGATCCTCCCAATCCAAGAGCAAGGTAGATCCATCCATTTTTTGGTATCCTCTTCAATTTCTTTCTTCAATGCCTTAAAGTTCTTGTCAAATAGATCTTTCACTTCCTTGGTTAGATTTACCCCAAGATATTTAATGCTGTTTGTGGCTATCGTGAATGGTGAAGCTTCTCTGATTTCCCTCTCTGCTTCCCTATCCTTTGTGTATAAGAGGGCGACTGATTTTTTGGAGTTGATCTTGTATCCTGCCACATTACTAAAGCTGTTTATCAGCTGTAAAAGTTCTTTGGTGGAGTTTTGGGGGTCGCTTAAGTACACTATCATATCATCTGCGAATAACGAAAGTTTCACTTCTTCCTTTCCAATTCGAATCCCCTGGATCCCATTATGTTGTCTTATTGCTATTGCTAGAACTTCAAGTACTATATTGAAGAGGTATGGAGAGAGTGGACATCCTTGTCGTGTTCCTGAGTTAAGCGGGATGGCTTTGAGTTTCTCTCCATTTAATTTGATGTTAGCTGTCTGCTTGCTGTATATAGCTTTTATTATATTTAGGTATGACCCTTGTATCCCTAATCTCTCCAAGACTTTTAACATAAATGGATGTTGAATTTTGTCGAATGCTTTTTCAGCATCTAATGAGATGATCATATGGTTATTTTCCTTCAGTTTATTTATATGCTGGATTACATTGATAGATTTTCGTATGTTGAACCAGCCCTGCGTCTCAGGAATGAAGCCTACTTGATCATAATGGATAATTTTCCTAATGTGTTCTTGGATTCGGTTTGCCAGTATTTTGTTGAGGATTTTTGCGTCGATGTTCATGAGTGAGATAGGCCTGTAATTCTCTTTCCTGGTTGAGTCTTTGAGTGGTTTTGGTATCAGAGTAACTGTAGCTTCATAAAAGGAATTAGGTAATGACCCTTCTGTTTCTATATTGTGGAATACATTAAGGAGTATGGGTATTAGCTCTTCTTGGAAGTTCTGGTAGAATTCCGCATTGAAACCATCTGGTCCTGGACTTTTTTTGGTAGGGAGGTTTTTGATAACAGCTTCTAATTCTTCGCGACCAACAGGTCTGTTTAGATTGTTCACCTGGTCCTGGTGTAACTTTGGTATATGGTATTTATCTAAAAAAGTGTCCATTTCTTTTACATTTTCCAGTTTTGTGGCATACAGGCTTTTGTAATATAATCTGATGATTCTCTGAATTTCCTCTGTGTCTGTGGTTATGTCCCCCTTTTCATTTCTGATCTTATTAATTTGCGTATTCTCTCTCTGCCGTTTGATTAGTTTGGAAAGGGGTTTATCAATCTTGTTGATTTTCTCCAGGAACCAGCTTTTTGTTTCATTGATTCTTTGGATTGTTTTCTGTGTTTCTATTTTGTTGATTTCAGCCCTCAGTTTGATTATTTCCAATCTTCTACTCCTCCTAGGTGAGTCTGCTTCTTTTTTTTCTAGAGCTTTCAGGTGGGCTGTTAAGTCTTCAATATGTGCTTTCTCTGTTTTCTTTAAGTGGGCACTTAGTGCTATGAACTTTCCTCTTAGGACTGCTTTCATAGTGTCCCATAAGTTCGAGTATGTTGTTACTTTATTTTCATTGAATTCAAGGAAGACTTTAATTTCTTTCTTTATTTCTTCCTTAATCCAGGTATGGTTCAGAAGTTGACTGTTCAGTTTCCATGAGTTTGTAGGCTTTCTGGGGGTAGCATTGTTGTTGAATTCTAACTTTAATCCATGGTGATCTGATAAGACACAGGTGTTTACTAATATTTTTTTGTAACTGTGTAAGTTAGCTTTGTTACTGAGTATGTGGTCAATTTTCGAGAAGGTTCCATGAGCTGCAGAGAAGAAGGTATATTCTTTCCTCTTCGGGTGGAATAATCTATAGATGTCTGTTAAGTCCATTTGCTTCATTACCTTCATTAATTCTCTAATTTCTCTGTTAGGTTTCTGTTTGATTGACCTGTCCATTGGTGAGAGAGGAGTGTTGAAGTCTCCTACTATTAGTGTGTGTGGTTTGATGGCTGCCTTGAGTTTTAGTAATGTTTCTTTTACATACATGGGCGCTTTTATATTCGGGGCATAAATATTCAGGATTGAGACTTCATCCTGATGAATTGTTCCTGTTATGAGTATAAAGTGTCCCTCTCCATCTCTTCTGATTGATTTAAGTTTGAAGTCAACTTTGTTAGAAATTACTATGGCCACACCTGCTTGTTTCTTAGGACCATTTGCTTGATAAGCCTTTTCCCAGCCCTTTACTCTTTTGAGTAGGTGCCTGTCTTTGTGGTTGAGGTGTGTTTCTTGTAGACAGCAGAACGTTGGATCCTGTTTTCGTATCCAATCCCTTAGCCTGTGCCTTTTTATAGGTGAGTTGAGCCCATTGACATTAAGTGATATTAGTGACCAGTGGTTGTTAACTCCGGTCACTTTTTTAGTAGTAGGGTTTGTGTGTTTCCCTTCTTTGAGTTGCGCTGGTGAAAGGTCTCTAGATGACTGAGTTATTGTGGGCATTGTTGGACTCCTTGGTTAGTGATTTTCCTTCTATAATTTTCTGTAAGGCTGGATTTGTGGCTACGTATTGTTTGAATTTGTTTTTATCCTGGAAAATTTTGTTTTCTCCATTTATAGTGAACGAAAGCTTGGCTGGATATAGTAGTCTGGGCTTGCATCCATGATCTCTTAGTTTTTGCAGTACATCTATCCAGGACCTTCTGGCTTTCATGGTTTCCATAGAGAAGTCAGGTGTAAGTCTGATAGGTTTACCTTTAGAAGTAACTTGGCCTTTTTCCTTTGCGGCTCTTAATATTCTTTCTTTATTCTGTGTATTTTGTGTTTTGATTATTATATGGCGAGGGGATGTTTTTTTTTTTTTGATCCAGCCTATTTGGTGTTCTGTATGCTTCTTGAACCTTCATAGGTACCTCTTTCTTCTGGTTGGGAAAGTTTTCTTCTATAATTTTATTAAGTATATTTTCTGTACCGTTGAGCTGCACTTCTTCTCCTTCTTCTACTCCAATTATTCTTAGGTTTGGTCTTTTTATTGTGTCCCAAATTTCCTGAATGTTTTGTGATGAGAATTTGTTGGTTTTGCTGTTTTCTTTGATCAGTGTGTTTATTTTTTCTATGGTATCTTCAGTGTCTGATATTCTCTCTTCTATCTCTTGTAATCTGTTGTTAGTACTTGTTTCTGTCATTCCTGTTCGTTTACCCAGATTTTCCATCTCCATTCTTCCCTCGGTTTGTGCTTTCTTCATTGCTTCCATTTCATTCTTCATGTCTTGAACCGCTTCCCTAACCTGTTTGATTGCTTTTTCTTGTTTCTCTTGGTTTTCTTGCGTGTCTTTGAGCGATTTATTCATTTCCTCTACCTTTTTGTTTGTAATCTCTAATTGTTTATGGCAGTTTTTCACCTCCTGTTTAAGGTCCTCTATTATTTTCATATAGTTTACTTTTGAGTCGATTTCTTCTATTTCTTCAGGAGTAGGGTGTACAATTCTTCTTATTTCGGGATCCCTGGTTTCTGGTGGTGTCATGTTGCCTTTCAGATTGTTGGAGGAATTCTTGTATTGGCGCCTTCCCATCTCTTCCTTCAAAAGGAGCCAGGAGAGGCCTGGTATCTTGGTCCAGACTTTGCTGTGATTGACTCTCAGCGTATATCTCTTCAGTGTAGAAGCAGGAACCGTTCCCGTCCAGATGGGATTCCTCCGGAACCGTCCCATCCTGATGGGATTCCTCAGCAACTAAACAGAGCCGCCGGTAGCCCAATGATCCAGGGCCAACAGGATGAATGGAGCAGGGGGGGGTGGCATCCAGGAGAGCGCAGGAAGCCTGGTGCTGGAGCTGAAGGTGCCCGACTCCCTTGCAGGGGACCCTGAGGCCTGCCCGGCTGGCAGGCACTCACCGCTCTGGGTGGGTCGCCTTAGTTTAGGAGCTTAAGACTGTAGTTGAGCACTTGTCCTAGCATACAGCAGGGCAGGGTTGGGGAGGGGTGCTGGTGGTGCTGGGTCGTGCGAAAGAAAGACAGCCCTGCAGAAGGAGCTGGGGGAGGGGGTTTGTGCTCTCTTCCGGGACAGTCCGCCCGCCCCTGGGTAGCACACACTCACCCGTCCTGATGGGATTCCTCAGCAACTAAACAGGGCCGCCAGTAGCCCAATGATCCAGGGCCAACAGGATGAATGGAGCGGGGGGTGGGGGGGGTGGGGGGGGTGGGGGGGGGTGGTATCCAGGAGCGCGCAGGAAGCCTGGCGCCGGAGCTGAAGGTGCCCGGCTCCCTTACAGGGGACCCTGAGGCCTGCCCGGCTGGCAGGCACTCACCGCTCTGGGTGGGTCGCCTTAGTTTAGGAGCTTAAGACTGTAGTTGAGCACTGGTCCTAGCATACACCGGGGCAGGGTTGGGGAGGGGTGCTGGGTCGTGCAAAAGAAAGACAGCCCTGCAGAAGGAGCTGGGGGAGGGGGGTTTGTACTCTCTTCCTGGACAGTCCGCCCGCCCCTGGGTAGCACACACTCACCCGTCCTGATGGGATTCCTCAGCAACTAAACAGGGCCGCTGGTAGCCCAATCCCTTGACTTTTTCTTAAACGAATGCCTTGCAAATGCAATTCACATATGAGAAATTGAGGAATATGGATTTGTGAGAATTTAATAACCATCAATGCATTTAAAGCTGTGCTTATTTACACTACTGCTTTTGATTCATTGTTCCAGGACATATTACAAACTCATCAGAGGCACATTGTTATAAACTTGCACAGGAAAATTACCTTGCAGGTCTTCTAGAACATTGACTATGTTCTTCAGTGTTACAGTCCTCCAAAATGTACCCTGAAATACAGTACCAGAATATGTATGTTATATTATTTAATATTGTACAACAATTAGCTCATTATCTTAAGTGCACCTAAGAACTATGATTGTGTTATTCATCTCATTTTCTTCTTTCTAAATCAAATTACAGAACAACATTATAAGGCAAGGAAAGGTTGTCTCCATATTTTGAAACATGAAGGAAATTCATTTTTACCTATAGTAGTGAGGTTCCTGTAGGTCTCCAGCATCACATCTTTGTAGAGATTTTTCTGGGAAGGATTCAGCAAATCCCACTCTTCCTGAGTGAAGTTGATATGTAGATCATCATAGGTCACTGCCTTCAAAAATATACCACACATGTATACAATGTAAGCATGACAGTGACATCATTGGAAATGCATACTTCTTTGAAAGTACAGTTGTATGATTCTGGTGCTCCCCATTCTTATTCTGTGATATAGTCAGTTACTTTAGAAATAAATTGAAAAGGAGAGTCAATTCTATCATTTCTATACACGTTGAATGGGATTTCACCTTTTAAGAACAGTATCTATTAACAGGGTGAGACAAGAAAAAAGTTCAACAGTAAATTGTATGCATGAGAAAATTGTATGAAAAATTCCTCATTATAGAAAGGAAAAAAAGGGTGTATTGGTGTATTGTGCCTTTGGCCACAACACTCAGAAAACAGAGGTGGGTATATTTGTCTCTGAGATGAATGCCATGCAAGTCAATATAATCAGATCCAGGATAGGTGGCAGTACACATTAAGACTCTGTCTCCATTACAAACCTCAATAACACAAACAATGGGATAGAAAAACTAACAGGCTTTTATTGAAGTTTCTACAAAGAGTTGTTTTCACTCCAGTTCTGTAGTCTTCTTCCAGACCCTGAAGTACCCTAATATAAACTGCAATACCAATAACATTTTGAACAAAAAGAACTTCCTGTATAAAACAGTTACAAGTGGACAGATGAAAACAGTAGAAATATAAATGTTGGTCATAAATAATCAACACAGACCTGGAGAGAGGGCAGATTAATTCAGCACTCTTGCTGATCTGGAATGGAGATGGACAAATTTGCCTGTACTTACATGGGGATTATAACTATCCATTTTCCAGGGTAAGGATTTCTGATATCCTTTGATCACTTTCATGGTACATATCCATGCAGGCATATAAAACAGTCATATTGATTTAAAAAAATCAAAGCAAGCATAACAAGCAAGAAGATGTGTTGCGGGAGGTCCTCGGCTCCTCCAGCCTATAGCCGCTGAGACACCAGCCCATTGGGGCGTGGTGTCTCTCCCTTTAAAAAAGTGGCCACTTCCCTCTCCTAGTTCTCTTCACTTCCTAGACTCCCTTCCTGGTTGTGCAGAGGGCTGTTGTCTGGGATGGTGATCTGTAAGTTTTTTCCCCTTGAAATAAATACCACTCTATTAATCATAATTCCAAACTGGTGTGGCATTGTTTGTGAATTACGCCTTCAGTTGGCACCCAAAGTTTGGTGTTAGGACCCCTCCTTCCCCCTCTTGGCTGCCGGCCTCGAGTTCAGCTTGGCGTGAGCCTCCCTTCCTCGGCGGCGACCTTGTGGCGGCCTTGTGGCCTGTGTCTTGTGCGTGGAGCCAGCAGCTTAACATAAATCATCACGCACTGGCTTTTCTTGCTGCAGTTCTTTATATTTTCCCTTTAGACACCTCAGATTGACTTCCATCCCCCACACACCCTATCATCTGCCTCCCCACATGGATTTAAACTCCACAGGCCTGTGTATTCTCTGCCCGCGTGGTTTGCTCTTTTCTGAGTCGTTTTTAAATCTCCCTTGCAAGCACAGCTCTTAAGTGGCGCAAACCAGAGCACGCAGTTGCAGGTTGCTGAAAGCTGCAACCCCTCAGGGTGACTATAAGCGGCTTCCATGTTGCTCTTCTCTACCCCTGGATTCTGGGTTTCTGGTTCCGTCTCTGGAATTGATTTAATTACATTTACTTTGTTGAGCTGCATCCTAGTCATATTGCCTTCCAGAATTTCTCCTACAGGGATTCTAATGCAGAGGGAAGATATTATTTTAGAGTTGATATTCATACCTAACAAACCAAGTAAAAAATTAAAAACTTATGTGGAAAAAGTCTCTGAATTAATTATAAAAGGTAAGCTGAGACTTCGTCAACTAGCAGGTATAGACCCAGCAGAAATTATAGTGCCTTTTACTACTGAAGAAATAAAAAAGTTATGGGAAGACAATGAACCGTGGCAAAGAGCTTGTGCTAATTTTTTGGGAGAAATTAATAGCAACTATCCCAAAAGTGGTAGACTTAACCTCATAAAAAGAATTTCTTGGATTCTTCCTAGAATTGTATGTGATGCTCCAATAACTGTACGTTCTATACTGATACAAATAAATCAGGGAAAGCAGGTTACAAGTCAGATGAATTGAGTAAGGTGTAACATAGCCCTTATAATTCTGTCCAGAAGGCAGAATTATATGCCATTCTTATGGTGCTAAGGGATTTTAAAGAACCTCTTAATATAGTTACAGATTCACAATATGCAGAAAGAGTTATCTTGCATATTGAAACCGCTGAATTTATACCAGATGACACAGAGTTGACTTCATTGTTTATCCAGGTACAAGACATAATCAGGAACAGGCTTTGTCCAATGTACATAACACACATCCGGTCCCATACAGGTCACCCTGGTCCTCTAGCCCAAGGCAACGCTGAGATTGATCAATTATTGATTGGAAGTGTGTTGCAGGCCTCAGAATTTCATAAGAAGCATCATGTCAATAGTAAAGGCCTAAAGAAAGAATTTTCCATTACTTGGCAACAAGCTAAGGACATTATAAAGAGATGTTCTTTCTATAATCAAACACCGTTGCCTGCAGGGAGTAACCCAAAGGGTACTAAGAGAAATGAAATCTGGCAGATGGATGTGTTCCACTTTATGGAATTTGGTAAATTAAAATATGTACACCACATCATAGACACGTATTCAGGTTTTCAATGGGCTACTGCCCTGAGCTCAGAAAAGGCTGATTCATTAATCACACATTTATTGGAAGTTATCGCCATCATGGGTATACCTGCACAAATAAAGACAGATAATGGTCCAGCATATGTATCTAAAAAAATGAAATGCTTTTTTGATTATTATAATATAAAACACATTACAGGTATACCAAATAACCCTACAGGTCAGGCAGTTATAGAAAGAGCAAATCGTACTATAAAGGATACGCTAAACAAACAGAAAGGGACCTAAAATACCCCCAGAAATAGATTACATAATGCTTTATTAACCTTGAATTCTCTTAAGGCTAATAAGAAAGGAATGACAGCAGCAGAAAGACATTGGATAATGGAAAAGTCTGCTGAACTAAATCAACCGATTTATTTCAAAGACATGCTGACCTCTCAATGGAAGCCAGGAGATGTGCTACATTGGGGAAGGGGTTCTGCTCTTGTTTCCACAGGAGAAGGAAAATTGTGGATACCATCAAAATTAATAAAGTTTCGATTTGAAGAGGAGAAACCTCTTGGAAAGGAGAAATGATAACTCATTCACAATGATGATATTCATACAGGTGAAGAGAAAAACATATAAAATGGGGGCAGGGTTCTGTTCTTATCTGCACAGGAAAACACTCATCTTTGAAAAATTCAAGGGACCCTGGATGTTTGGATACTGACAGATGGAAAAATACCTGCCCAATAGGAAATATCAAAAAACTGAATGGGTTGTGTAAGTAATATTAGACCATATTTCTAAATTTATAGAGCTGGTTTTGAAGTTGGACTCTGGCTCAGTCCCTCTCCAATTCCAAGCCTGTTAGTAAGAGAAAAACCCAAAGTTTCTGGAGTTTCTGTCTCATGTCAAGAGTCATGATATGGGACAAAAAGAAATATGAGTTTAGGAAACATCTTTGCTTTTCTTCATATCTATCATACTTTTCAATGAATATATCTATCATGCCTTTCATTGAATATATAAATATATATATGTGTATATATATATATATATATATGATTAATGTTTAAGTTTTTCACAATGAACAGTGAATTTTTCCTGAAGTGACATTTGAAGTTTCCAGGAAGAAGATGAGGCCCCATAACAACAGCTCCACCTGGTTGATATGACGTCATGATACTGATAGATAGCACTACTACAAGACCTGCTTTGGGTACCAGCTGCACAAGACAGTTCCAACTTGGTTAAGTGAAATGGTGCACATCTTATACAACATTTTGGCCAGACCTGCACAAAATACTCAGAGACTATTTGCAATTTTAAAAGACATTGATCTTGAAATTTAACCATCATTTTACTTTCACAGGATCCCCCAGAAAGAATGTCGCCCCCATGACAGCTTTAAATAATTCTAGAGGACGACGTCCCCTCTCCCAGTAAAGTTTGCCCTTGGGTTTAGGGACATCATTTAGGGGTTGATTATAATTAGTATACAATTGAGGGTTGGGGGAGGAATTTTATAAGTTCAGGGATAATTTTCAAAAAAAAAAAAAGAGGGATGATTGGATAATAGATTTGTAATTGTGAGTTACTGTTTTTAGATAAATATATTGGTAGAGATTCTTGTATGTTGATACAAAGTTAAATTATATTGACTATTGTATGCAAGCATGTTTCTACCTCTGTTTAAAACATTTTTTTATGTATTGACATATATTGTATTGATATATATATAGTATATATTTACCATATTGCAGTGTACATTTTTACCTCTGATTAAGATGTTTGTGTATTGATATATATTTACCTACTGCAATGTATATTTGTACATTGTTTATATTTGGAGGTCATTGTCCTCATTTGTTTCACAGTCATTTATTTTCTTAGTCTTTAAGTTAGATAGACATTGAAAATTATATAGATTAATAGTCATCTATGTTTGTCATTTATAATTAGACTAATCAGGTTCTTTAGATATATAGAGATTATACTCAGTATAGAAAGATAATCTTCAACTTCTTCAAAGAGCTGTAGAAAATGGCCTTTAATCTAACTCAGAGTTTTGTGGTAGTGAGACACAATTTCTCCAGGCAACACCGCTCTAGTCCTGAGAGAATGTTGAGCACCAAAGACACTCCACCTGGAGCCTTTCTTTTTGGCAGAACTGGCCTTTGGGCAAAGAAATGCCCATACCTCAACCACTGACAGAGATACAGAGCATGCATCAATGGATAAAACAGGACTGTCATATCCTGCCAAGACAGGGTAAGATAGTTTTGAAAAGTTGCTTGCCTTTAAAAATGGTATGTCAGTTATGTTAGGCCTTAGCCAAAGTTGGTCACTTCAACGCTGCTAACATGACTTTGGTTGATTGCCCAGGTAGCTAATTGTCTCTGTGATTTGTTGCATGTTTTGGAAGTTGTTTTACTGAACTTCCTAATTACCCAAGTAACATTATTTCCCTTCTCAGATCTTTGATGGGGTTGAAGATTATATAAATGTAGTTACTTTCTCTCATGACTTGACCAAGTTATTTATTATACAAGACCTAAGCTAGTTAGAATAGAATATTTGTACTTATTGTATATAATTTCATAGTAGGTTTAAAACTCTCTTATTTAAACTAAAGGGGGAAGTGTTGCGGGAGGTCCTCTTGCTCTTCCAGCCTATAGCTGCTGAGAAACCAGCCCATTGGGGCGTGGTCTCTCTCCCTTTAAAAACGCGGCCACTTCCCTCTCCTCACTCTCTTCACTTCCTGCTCTGCAGGTGACTAGACTCCCTTCCTGGCTGTGCAGAGGGCTGTTGTCTGGGACGGTGATCTGTAAGTTTTTCCCCCTTGAAATAAATACCACTCTATTAATTATAATTCCAAACTGGTATGGCATTGTTTGTGACTTACACCTTCAAAGATGTTCATACAACTGTAATTTAATGACTCAAAATACTCAGGCAGTATTAACACTATCAATCCATGGGATGGTATCCTGGGAATCAGAGAGATACCCTCTGTCAAATTTTAAAATTCAAGATAAGCATGAAGCTCAGCACAGCAGCATATACTTGACATAAAAAATACGTGCATTCCAGGGCCATCATCCAATAACATAACAACAAATAGAGCCAGGAATGATGCCTCCCTTTACTTTCAGGAATTTAGAGCCACACAATGACTCAGATAAAACAGCAG